TCTAATGTAGGTTTAGACTCAGCTACTGATTAATAAGCCAATAATTTTTAGATTATTTATGTAAGTCACTGAATGATCCCTCAGATGGTCCTAAAAAACCAAAGCGATGTAAAGTATGTGTTGTCCCAGGTAAAAGTTATGTTCAACAAATATATCACCTTGTGTTATAAATAAAAATAATAGATTAAATTCAAATAATGTAGATAATGGAGCAGAAATTATTATTATGAAAAGAAATGGATTTAACTGGAAATGGTCATACCAGCAGAGTAACTTTTTTTTCCCCAGTCTGAAATAGTCGATTTTATTGAGGAACCAAAGAAAATTTCGAAAAGAGGAATTTATTCAGTTCCAGAACTTTTTCACGAAATTTTTTAAAACATTATTTTTATCACTTTTGTTTACTTTATACCTAAACTGTTTGTTTACTTGGTACCTATACTTGTTTAGTTTGTACCTATATTTTATTTACTGTATACAAGAACTTTGTTACTAAATCTTTTTTTGTCACTTTATTTTTGTAAATTTATTTTCTTTGCCTAAATATTGTTGTTTTTATTGTTGTTTTGCTTCCTTTAATTCCTTTTTACAGGGTTGGGCCAAAGTCACCCTAACACATAGGGCAACTTTAGCCCAACATTTAAACCACCCAAAAGATACTTCAGGTAAATAATTTTCAAATTGGGAGACAGATAGTTCTAACTTTTCTTTCTATGCGCTTCTAAAAGTACTAAGTGTTTGAGGAAATAACTTTAATGGCTTTCATGCAATAGACATTAAGATGCAAAATGTGTCAAAGCCACCCAATCTTACGGTTATAAAAATGTACAAGAAATGTTTGATAAACAAATTTTTTACAACGAGGTGGATTGTAATCCAATCCAATTAAAAAGAAATTAAACTATTTAAAAATCAGACCAGCCTGGATCAATGCTAGGTTAAAGTTTCTTATTAGAAGCAAACAAAGTTAAAGATACAACTGCTCATGTAAATGGAAAGACTCAGTGTTGAAATCTAAATACAAAATGATTTTCAATGTAGCAGACAAGATTAAAAAAGAGCGACAAAACTTTGAGTTTAATCTGGTAAAAAAAGCCACTAAAAATCAAAAGCTTTTCTACAACAATATGAAGAATCAATAAGCATTCAAAAATTCTATAAAAGCATTAAAGAAAGCAAATGGTAAAACTAATCAACATTCAAAAAATCTTGCTGACATCTTAAAAAAAAATTTCAAACTGCATATGTGAAAGAAGATGATGGTCTTTTGCCTTCGTTTTATTTAAAAACTATTCAAACATTCATTATGAAAAATGAAGATTTTACATTTCAAGATGTTCATCTAAGATTAAAAACTTGGAAGAAAACAAATCAAGTGAAGTTAGTGTTTTCTAATTTACATTCAACTATTTTAAAGAACTGTGCATCGACCTTCGCCATTCTACTTACACTTGTGGTCAAAAGTGTGTATCCACCCTAAAAAAAATGAATTTTTAAACATTTTATTATACCTAATAAAACCATAAAAACTTATATTATTTCGCATATATTTTGAATTATATAATTGTTATCCTTAAAAACCAAAAAAAGTTATAAAAAACCTTCAAAAATTAAAAAAATTTGTTTTAATTATTTTTAAAAAAATCGTTGATGAATACACACTTTTGGCCACTAGCGTATATTTTTAAAGAGTCGTTTGATATAAAAAATTTCTTTTTTCAAAAAAGGCAAAAAAAACCTTAGCAGAAAACTACCGACCGGTGTCACATCAATTGCCTGTAAAATAATGGAAGACACAATTAGGTGTAAACTTTTTATATATAAGGCATGCTATCGGAAAAATCTGCCCACCTTTTGCGGAGTGGTAAAGCTAGTTAACGGTCGTTTTTTGAAATTATTTTTTTGTGTGAGGTAGTGTTTGTATAATAGAACATTTTGGCAGAAAAAAATAATTAAAAATGTTATTTAGTTTCAAAATGTCAACCGAGCTAACTAAACAAAGATTTTTGATAGTGGACAAACACTTAAAAACTCTAACTTTATCGAATAGAAAGTTGGCAAAATCATTAAAAATATCAAGATGAAATGTAGATACTGTTCTTAAACGGCTTACAGAACAGAAAACTATTCCGAGAAAACAAGGAAGTGGTCGAAAAAAACGCACAGCGAATTCTAGAGCTCTCGAACGGTTGGAAACTTCATTGGAAGAACATCCTGATTGATCTGATAGATTTCGAGCGAAAAAACTGAACGTTTCCTATTTTTTTGTACACAAATGGCGACAGAGACTTGGAAATCAAAGTTCTAAAGTAGTTAAAATGCCAAATCGCAACGATAAACAAAATTCAACCACAAAGAGTCGAGCTCAAAAGTTGTATGACAACTTGTTAAGAAAACATAATGGATTCATTTTGATGGATGACGAAACTTATGTTAAAATGGATTTTAAACAAATTCTTTGGCAGTGCTACTATGTTTCTAAAATAAGAGGAAATGTGAGTGATAAATACAAGTATGTAATGACTGATAAATTTTTGAAAAAATTGATGATTTGGCGGGCACTTTGCTCTTACGGCAAAAAAACGCCAATTCATGTTTGTTTGGGCACAATGAAATCTTCGGAATACGTGAAATGTTGTCTTTCTCGTATAAAACGACTAATTAAAGGTCATAGAAGTACTTCAGTATTGTTTTGGTCTGATTTAGTCACAATACATTGCTCAAAAGATGCTCAAAAGTTTTACGATGATAATGGAGTGTTGTTGGTTCCGAAAAAGATGAACCCTCCAGACTGCCCCGAATTACGTCCTATTGAAAAATATTGGGCCATCATAAAAAAGAAATTGAAATTAAGTGGAAAAACAGTAAAATCAGCTACAGACTTGAAGAAAAAATGGGATTACGCTGCTAAAACTTACAAAAATCACTCTGTCCAGAAACTTATAGGAGGCATCAAAAGAAAGTCAGAATTTTCTGTAAAATTTTATTTATTTTTTTTTTCCCTATTAATATGTAATCTTTACAGTCTTAATTTTTCAGAAATATATTGATTTAAATACATTTAAGCTTTCTTACATCCTTTTTTGATCAAGAAAGGTGGGTAAATTTTTCCGATAGCATTCCTTAAGTTTAAACTAATAGTCACATTTTAAAAAAGCTCATATATTTCAGGCGACCTCCAATCTCAGTGTTTTTAGGGGTAGATTTAAGCTCTGAACTACTTCCAAATATTTAGTGGTTTGACTGATTAGAGAAAGGGCAAACTCTGTCAAGTCTTTTAGTCCATCGTGTACCAGATTGCCCATGCAAAGATACACAACGGAGCTTTTTTTACAATATTTCCCAGAGGTGTGGACTAGCAGAGAAGATGTGCCTTTATGTACATATCGAATAACAAACGTAGTTTGTTCAGTATGACGCATGTCAGGAGTGGCATCAATCAAGTTGAGAAACATTTCTCAGACTTGCATTCTTCGATAACTCAATAGCGAACCTCAGCTGCACAAAGACCAATGAATTCATTTTGAGAACAATTTGACCGGTAATACACCTGAAACCTTGTTATGTGATTAACTTTTATCACATGTTCCTTGAGAATTGGGTCATAATGCGACATCAGTTCCAGCACTCCTAAAAAAATTACATTATGATAATCTCTAATTAGGTCAGATTTTCCACGAAAAGGCAGTTCACTAAGAAACAGAATTACATCCAAGATTCGTTCCAGGGTTTTTAAAGCTGGTCTAACAGTGTTAGTGGCGCTTGTAGAAGTATTATCACAATCACCAATTTCTTACTGGTAATAGTGCCACTGTCAGCACTATTAGCAGTAAGAAAAGATTGCATGCTACTGTTATCTTTTTGTAACGTTGAGCTAGTGAAAAAGGCATCTAATGTCTTGGGAGTGGCTGTAATTTCAACATCAAATAATATTTGTCACCCTTTTTGTAGAGCCGCTTCTTTTACTTTGCTGATTTTTAATATATATATATAGTATATATAATATACTTTTGCTTTGCTGATATTATATATATATATAGTATATGTAATATACATAAATCATTAATCAAATCAAGTTAAATATAATATAATAATTAAATTAATAAATTAAATTTATCATTATAAATTTATGAATTAAATTGAATTATACAATCAAGCGAATCGTCGGTAAAAAAAATTCTTCCTATATTCAAAATTTGATTTGATCACATGGCAACATTTCTCGCAAAAATCAAGAATAGCTTATTAAATAAGATTTAAACAAAAGCTTTTCCAGACCAAAGTTAATTGCATTGACTATGATAAAACTCGGATGCTCTATTGTTGGTGGCATTGAACATTTTGTACTATATGTGTGTGTGGAAAGTAATTTGCTTGCTTTGAGGTGTAATGAAAAAAGGATGGGGAAAAAAAGAAAGAATCAGGTAAATCTTTGGTCAACCACTGTTGGGGGGCTCCTAGAGACCGGAACCCTGATTAATTTGCTCGGATGACCCTGATTTTAAGGTAACAAGAACATATGATGTACGCGTGAGAAAACAGTTCGAGATAACAAAAGCTTTAGTTAACCAATGTTTTTGTAAGTGAAGTTTAACGTACTTTTAAATTTTATCATATTAAAGTTATTGTATAAACTTTAAATCATATAGTATTTACATAGTTACCAAAAAACGTGAATTTTGAACTACAACATTGTTGGGCGGTTATTTCGCTGTAGCAGCGGTCTTAAATATTACTAATTTATTTTATTACCACCTGAAATTCGTTATTTTTTGAAAAAATTATAAAATACTATATAAAAGTATCTTAAAAATAGTAAAAAAAAAAAGTAATAAATTATTATAATTTCTAAATAAAATTTCATAGTTGCTTAATATTGAAATTAGACAATTACTCAATTAGTTAAAAACATATTCAAGATAAAAATATTTTTAAAATGATGGAATAAAAATATTTTGATGCAAGCCTCAAAAAAGTTTGGTTTCGGCATTAAGTTTCGGTATGAGTTTAAGTTTCATGTGCCTAACGTGTGGTTTTGCACTGAAATGCTCTTGAAGAAGCTGCAAGGCGAAAATGGAAACATGAACAATTTTTTTCAACTCGAAAATGAAACAAGCGCAAATAATATTTACAAGTAAGTAAATCTTTTTTGATTACTTAGAATTTCAATTTATTTACAATATAGTTATAAAAATCGTAATTATTTTTGAAAAAAATGTTTCTTTGCCACATTGAGCAAATGTTATGTAAATGTTGTTTTTATCTGCTATCAACATGAACTGTGATCAATAATCTGATGATCAACTGTGATCAACTGATGAACTGTTGATCAACTGTGGCTACTGATAAAAACTTAATTTTTAGTACAAACAACTGTGACTAACTTAATAATTTAGTTGCCGAGCCGCTGTTGCAGCAGTACTTATAAAATACTGTTGCACAGTCTATTAATTTTTCAATTCATACTGAATTATTTGTGCAGATAATTCAGTATTGAAAGTGCTCGTCTGAACATTAAAAAGTGTACGTCATTTTACTGTTTTTCAAAAATACAGTTTTCAAAGTGTGATTAACTACGTTAAAATTATTACTAATATACTATTTTTTTGACTTTTGTAAGTTTTTAAATAGTTTAAAACGTTTTTTATTATCGAACTTGTTTTTGTTGTTCCGTATTATAGTTTAAAACAAGCGTGAAGCAAATATGGAGGCTTAAGGCGTTGTAAAAGTATTACTGAAATAGCGACAAAAATATATATATTTAAAAATGCCGCAACTAAAAAAATATTGGAATTTTTTTCAAATAACGTTTTATTCATGTTCAGACTAACAGTTAGAAATGGACTCAATTAAAGATGCGCACATTGATTGAAATGTTAAGATAAAGGCAACAACATGTACATACTTAAATAAGTATATGTTATTTTTTTGAGTAGAACAAATAAAATACAAAAAATAATCAAAAAGTTATAAAGATTTTCTGCTTTTTATTTAATTTATTGTAGTTTTAAAACAGTACTTAATTAGTTTAGTTAACTTTCAATGGTCAATAATTTAGATTTACTATCCGTACCTTTTATCCGTAACGTAAACTATCCGTAATTATTTTTCAAGTTTTGAAAAATAAAAAACAATGTTTTACCCTGTTTGCAGCAAGGTATTCCACTGGGACGCAACACGGTTTGTAAAGAACTACTTTCTCTGCATGCATTATAGTACTCGTTGCTGTGCCAGCCAGTGATTATGACCTCGGATAATGTACTTTGATGATGATGGGTAACTCAGAGACTCGCGGAAGTTTGTTTTGTCAATTTTGTGCATGTATTTAAAAATCTGGATTTAATAACCTCTTTTTCTTACTTATTCGAGTGAGGCCATAGCTTTTCTCTTCTCAGAGGTTGTATGTTTAGTAGAAGAAACTGTTTTGGTAGCTTGATTTTGGACTTTATTCAGAGTTAATGTTAAAAAAAAACTACTTTTTAATTCTAAACTAAATTTTGTAATACTATTATCAATGTTTTTCAAGAACTTTTATTTTTGATTTCAGAAGAAACTTTTTTTTTATTTTAGAATGCTATTTCAGTAGTATTTTTAATACGTCTAACCAGGTTTTGTTATATTTTTATTAACTGGGTAATGTTTCCATATTTGTAAAAAAGAATAACTAAAAGTAAACATCATTAAAACTGGTACTATTATGGTCGACAACACGGGTTTCAAAGTGGAGAGGCACAATCGTCAATTTTTAAAAAAGTTCTCTATATCTAGAATTTTTTTTTTAAAAAAAAAAGGTCTTTTACAAAAACATACCCCCTTACCCTCTGATGTCGTTGGCTCTGACTGACACTAGAGTCAATTTTTATTTAAGTTTATCATCTCACATACTCTACAATTTATAAACTTTAAACCAATCTCGCGATATGCTTCATAATTTCTTTTTTAAAAATTTTTAAATTGTTTAACTGCTATTACTACATTATTAACGCCTTAACACCTCTGAACAACGGTTATATCTGTTGAAGTTAAAGTGATTATACTTATATGTAAAGAATGGATATTGGATATGCATGAATGGATATAGGGGTTGATTTTTTATTTGAAGACTTATATCTTAGGCAATACTGAATAAATTTTTATGTTAGGAACTTTCCCTACTTGAATAAAAATAAATATGAAAAAAGGTGTTCCACTGTTAATATAATGAAGTTCTGTGCTAGAACTTTATGACCTCGTTGACATAAAGCTTTTTTTTTAGATGAGACATTTTTCTTAAAACGGAAAATATAAAATAAGATTAATAAAAAAACTTATTGCAAAAACAATTTCTTTATAATTTTTAATTTAATAAAAAAGAGTGGTTACATAATATTTGGCAACTATTTTATTAGTAACATGTTCAGCGGTAGCGCAGAGGTTAGAGTTCTGGGTCAGAATCAAGAAGCCCGTGGTTCGACGCCACCTATAGCACAACAAGCAACATTGGTAATACCATGTAAAAGGAAAATCGTTAACTCATGCATATAGAATTAAATTGTTATGATTTGGCTATAATCTCTAAGACATAAATATATAAATTTAATATAAAGTTATAACGAATAAAAACTAGGGCTATTTAGCATATAACTTTTTTAATTTTTCATAATGCTTAGAGTTGGCCAAGAAAAAAAGTATTATTTTTTTTTGATTCTATTATTCCATATAGGCCTATGTGGCTATGTGCTCCTGATTTATAGCATTTAATGTTTAGCATTAATTTACATTAAAGCAAAACAAGTCAAAGTCTAATTAGGTAAAAAAAAAAGGGTAAAAGATTACTACATCTGTCCAACAACATCTGTAGAGTATTTCAAGATCGGTGATCTTTTGTCCAAGATCACTTTTGTCCAAGATACACTGTATTTTTTTTACTCCAATATCTGTCCAATATCAACTGGAAATTCAATGATCCCTTTCAACATCTTTAGGAAGATGTAAGTACATCTGGTAATTTTTCTCCGATAACATCTGGAAGAATCCATTAACATCTGAAAGAATTTCCTCTAGATGTAATTACATCTAAAACGAATCTTATATAAAACTACTTATGGTTAAAAAAATGCATTATAATTTAATAACTTCATAAAATCCTGTAGTTATATTTACTTTAATTGAAAAGATGTAACTACATCTGCAGAATTCACAGATGTAGTTGGACAGATGTAGTTATGCTTAACATAATTGAAAAGATGTAACTAAATCTGTAAAATTTCCAGATGTAGTTGCGCAGATACTGTTATACTTTGAGAATTGAAAATGTATCTACATCTGTAATAATCATATACTTTGTACACAGATGTTATTAGACAATAAAATTTTAGAAATTGTTGGACAGATGTTGTTATACCTTAGTGTATTTTTATATGTTGTTCGGCAGATGTTATAAGAAATAGCTAGAACTTTGTGCATATGATTACTACGGTGACCAAAAATATATAAAATTAAAAAGTATGCCAACATTAAACTGACTAAAAAATAAAAAAACAGCCATTTGAATAGGGCTTATTTTAAAAAAACAGGGTTTTTATCTAACTCTGTGGGGAGAAAAACACTAAAAATATTGTATATATTAACTTTCACTGTTGTAACTTTCACTGCTGTAATGCACTGGGGTAAGCTGCAACAGTGAACGGGGTAAATTGCAGCACAATACTTTAAAAGTATAAGAAAAATTACTAGTTAATCTATAACTTCTATTTGGCAACAAAAAATTTATAATAACATTTAAGGAAAGTATTTATTGATTGTTAACACTTTTATTATGTGAGACTTCGCATATACCTGACTTGTTAACTTCAAAGACTGAAGAAATTAAATAAAAGGGATTATTATTTTAACTAATTTATTTAATTTCGAAAAAATTTCCGAAAAAAAAAAGTATTCTCTAAGTCAATAAACAATGAATTAGTTTATAAAAATGCAAGAGATGTTTTTAGGATATAAAAACACATCAACATTTTATTTAAAAAAAATTTAAATTTAGATAAAAATAAAACAAATGTTAAATAAAATTTCATAAAAACAAACAAATATTTAACTTAGATAAAATCAAAAAAATAATTTCTCACCTATAAATTTTCATTAAAAAACAAATAAGGTAGAGCGGGGCTAGTGGAGCAATTTTTACTAGATTTAACAGATCTCATGAACGGTGCATCAAGTTTACATTATTTTTTCAATATTTAAAAGATAATTTAACTTTTTTTAAGAAGATATTGCCTAATGTTTGTGGAGCTGCTCAACTTACCCTGCCCCAGCAGGGTAAGTTGAGCAACAGTGTGTGGTAAGTTGAGCAATAAACAAAAATTATTTTGACCACTATTATAATCTGGTAAAAGTAAAAGTAATGCGACTATAACAAATCGTCAAGCGTAGTTTTATTTAGAAAAGATGTAATTTTCAACATAAAGTTCCTTGGAGCTTGGTTATAGATAAGTCTGTCGATATGATTTTTTGATAAAAGCACGTATTGGTGTTTTTTTTTCAATGAATGTAACTTGAGATTTATAATCAGACATTATTTGGGGAAATTATCCACGAAAAACCGTTTTTTTTTGAAAATTGAAGTTATTATTTTCAATACCACACCTAAATGAGTAAGTTTAACAATAATATCACGTTAAATTCAGATAGACTATGGTTCTATTAATTTTTCTACTAAAGTCGTTTTTGCATAAATAATCATAACTTTTAGCCTCATTCAAAAAACAGTTTTCGGTATTTTGTATCATTTTTTGAAATACTCGGTACTTATTCGGCCATTTTGAAAAAATAAATTATACCATTCAGAATGCGTAAACAATTAAAAAACAGTGTATAAACAAATTACTTTCGTTTTCAAACTCGTTTTTATATCAGTAGTAAACTTGAATTGAAAATTGTTTTATTTTTACTTTTATAACAATAATTTAAACTAGCAGTAAGCAACCTGTAATACGGGTTGTTAGAAAATAAAATTAAAAAAAAACCGCGTTTAGAAAAGTCTAGAGACTACTTTAAAATAGAAAAGCCTAGAAAATGACGTAAGTCGACTATTACTACTATTAAATTAGCGTATTAATATTATCAGAAGTAACATAAGTTATTTTTAATTTATTGTTAAAAAAACAATTATTTCTTTGAGATACAAGTAGCTATTATGACTTGAGTAATGTATTAAGATAAATACTTTTTGTTGTTAGCACAACGCAAAACGAAATATATATTACATAATTCCTTCCAACTGGTTTTAAAGGTTTTTTTTAATATAACAACACAAATATATTAAATTGTAATTAGGTTTATAAATTATGTCAAACAAATATCTTATAATTATATCCTGCAAAACTGTTATGACGTTTCGGTTGTTTATAATATTTTGTTATTACTTACGAATTCATTGTTTGCATAAATTCAATACAAATAAATAAAAAGTTGTTCGGTTTGCCACTAACAACTAATCGGATTTGTTTAAATTTAGCGCCTTTTTTTTTTTTACAAGTTTGCTTGTTCTATGCCTTAGTTGCTTTGAGTATCTTGAACTTTGAAGCTCGATTTAAAAATTAGTATATATATAAATAATGTACCGCTCTATTATTTCTCATCAAAGTTGTTCCTTTTTGTTCGATAGTTCACATTTATTTTTTTCAAAGCTGCTCAACTTACCCCTACCAGACAAGGGTTTAGTATGGGTAAGTTACATTATTTATATATATATATTTTTTAAATTAGTTATTTTTAATATTTTAACTAATTTTTTCGTTAAAAAAACGTCCATTACTTTGAAAATAATTAGTGAAAAAATGTGCGTAATATCACTAAAACCCGCAGTTGTTTTATGATTCAACTTAACCTAAGCAATTTGTCGCAACTTACCTCGTAGGCATCATGATCACTTTAATCAATGTATCTAATTATTTACATTAAAGAAATCAAATTTTTTAAATCTTTTTGTGTTTGAAAAAAATTTACTTAACTTACCATTATTTTATTATGGTCACACACCTCTAAGTTTATTTTATCACCTCTAAGTTTACAGTAAAACCCAAAAAACTTTAAAAACAAAAATTAGAATTTTGTATCAAAAAAAAAAAATTTATAGTAATAAATTAAAAACTTTTAAAATTTTTAATTTATTACTATAATTTTTTTATTGCTGACGCATTTAATAATAGTTTTATAATGTAAAAAAAATTTAGGAATAATATATAAAAACCACTCTTTAAAACGCATTGCTGCAGCTTACCCCTGTTGCAACTAGCTCCAGTCTCCCCTACAATTTTGTAACACCTTTCATAATTTAAATCCTTTTAACTTTCAATGCAATGTTTAGTTTTATTTTGATTGCTGGATGCACATTCTTTGATTACATTTTCAGTGTCTGATAAAGACGATTTAAAAAGACAAAAAAGTTAAATTAACTACTGAATTCTTTTGTTTAATAAAGAAATTTAAATGCTATAATTAGTTACCAACAACTCTATCAACAAGGTCTTGACAATCTTTGGGTTAGCGACTTTGAGTGAGCTTATTGAAAATTTTTTTTTTAAAAAGTCCATTGTACAATGCATTTCGCTACAGTTGCTGAACTTTACATGATCAATGTATATTTTAGGACGAGGCACTAATTTTTTCTAAAATACAAAGTAAAAGTTCTATAAATATAGTTAAACATATCAGTTAAAATATATAAAATTTTGCAACATGAAAATATTTCTTTCTACTAAATCAGCCTACTTAAGCAGCCGTGGCGCAGTGGAAGCACACTTGCCTCAGAAACGTAAGATCCGTGGTTCAAACAGTGGTGGATTGAGGTTTAGTGTCGCGGAGGGGCCAAGTCAATGAATTGGGGCGACCGGGGTTGTCTTTAATAATTTGATCATATAATTTTTTTTTTTTTTTTGATTGTTTTAGGGGGCGCCTTTAAACCGTTCTAGAGGGGCGTGGGGGGCAGCTCGTCCCCCCCCCCCCCACGCCTTATACTAAATCCGCCACTGGGTTCAAACCCCACCTCTGGGCAAGTTTTGCGACATCGGTTGGTAAGGAAGCGTGAACTTCCTATTAAATGCTCTTCCGCGGTGCTCTGTGATAAGACCGTAAGGACTTCTTGGGGCACCTGAAATCAACATTAAAAAAAAAAAAAAAAATCCATCTGGGCAGTTTAATACTTTATAAATAAAATTTATAAGAATTTTCTCTCAAGTTTGAATAAAAAAATAAACTGCTAAAAATTTAAAGAAAAAGTTTTCTTAAATATTGGATTATTGTTTAAATAAAAAGATAATATTAGCCCAATTTATGTTACAATAATGTTTTATATAAAAATCCACAATATAAATTAATATCGATATAGCCAATAAATATAAATTTAGTCTTTTTTCATCAAAAATTCAAGAGAAATTAATGTTTAATGTTTATGTTGATAATACATATTCTTTTACAGGTTTTTTTAGAATATTATAATAAGTTTTTGTTATCACTAATATAAAAAATAATTATTTATATTTTAATACAGCTAAGCATATTAATAATTTCATAAACACGCATCTCGCGCATTTATGTATAACATAAGTATAACAAAATAATATTAATAAGTAAATAAAATAAATATGGATATAACTTTATAACAAACTATGTACGCTTATAACTTTAAATACAAACATGTTTTAGTTTTAGCAATTGCTATTTCCCAAAGAAAAGTTAGTACTATCACCCCAATTGAGTCACAAGCAAAAAATGACTTAAGTTTACCAACAAACGACAATGTGGAACAAGATGTCTCACGTTCCTACGTGCAAAAGTTTTCACAGTCGTGGAATTATTTTGCTAAAGCCAATGATATTTCAAAACGTGAAAGACTTAAGAAAGCTTTATCCGACGCGCTTCAGTCTATGGAATATAAAAAAAGAAACGATATAGCAGTTAATATAAATAGTGAATCTGTATCAAGAATAAAAAACGCCGCAAAACTTCTCAAAGAATTTCGTGAAATGTATTCGTTATCAGATAAAGTAAAAAAAACTCTACAAGAATATAGCAAAGCAAGAAAAGATTTAAGATTAATTACGAATTTTAAAGCTAGTGATTTAATTTTAAAAAGGTTTCTTGATCTTCATAGCCACAAAGATAATAAGCGAACCAATATACCTTCTGCCAATATTCTTGGGCTGCATAGCCCAAAATATCTCACAAAGACGGATACAGTATCTTTAAAAGCAGTTCCTTTGGACAAAAATGGAAACATTGGATTAGAGTTTTCATCAATTGATACCCGGTCATCGAGCATGAAACGTGCAATTGAAGCTTTTAGAGCAGCTAAAATCATTTTAAATTATGAAACCACAATCAGAAGTCGTATAAATAGCAATCCGTTTCACAATAAAACATCTATTAATAATTTAGAAATGGATGCTGACGTAGAATTTACAAAGAGTAGTAATAAACGATCTGAGTTTCCAGATCTTTTAAAGTCTAAAAACTCCACTAACGCCACTAATGACATTAATTATATTAAAGATACAACATTAGCAACAAAAAGTAACAATGAAACTAGCAATGAAACATCTTCAAACAAAACATTAAACAATGAAACAAAGGATACAGAAGTTAATATTGGAACAGCTAATAAAATGATGGGTATACCAGACATTAATGGAACAGCCAATCAAACAGTGAATACGACAAGCAGTAGTAAAGCAGCCAATGAAACGGTAGATAAAACGAATAATAGTGAAGCAGCCAAAGAATCAACAGATATAACAAACAATAGTGAAGCAGCCAAAGAATCAACAGATACAACAAACGATAGTGAAGCAGCCAATGAAGCATTAGATACAGAAGGTATCAGCAGAACTACCAAAGATCAAAATAATCATAACAGTCACACCAACAAAACAAATGATTTAAGTAAAAAAATAAAACCTTTTGTTGAACTATTGAAAAAAATTGGAGTAAAAAATTTTCTTAAAAAAATGAAAACTATGGGTTTGAATACGCAAGATTCTGTAAATACTCATGATAACACGCGAGATAAAATAAATACCGCAAATAAAATACGAGCTGAAGTACCGAATAGAAATATCACTTTAGCTGAACCAATCGAAAGCAATAATCCTGACGACGAATCTTTAAAAGAAAATTCTAAAGAAACAATTGAGCAAATAAATCATGATGAAGATTTAATTAAAAAAGAAAAAATGACCGTGGAAAGATTAAAAGAGGCAAAAATTGCAAGGCAAAAATATGAAATCGCAAAACACGAACTTGCAAAAAAAGTCAAAGAACTCTATGATTTGGCAAACGATTTTGAAAAAGAAGAAACTCAAGACCAATTTCTAGAAGTGAAAAAATCTTCTACATCAGTACCTTTTGCGAAAAACCAGAACAGTGAACAACAAACTAAGTATGATGAATTCAAGAGTGTCTCTATAAAACGTAGTGATAGTCATCCTGGCATAGCTCTAGCAGGTATTTTGCATAAAGAACCGTCTATTCTTAACACTGAAAAAGGCAGTGATAGTGTTAACAAAGGGCTCACAATGGGTATGATTGATAAAACCGCCCATCAAGTGAAACTAGATGAAGTAAAAACTTTTGTAAGTAAATATTTTTTAACTATTTATTTAGTTTTTTTTTTATTGATGAAAATAATTTTTTAAACACAAAGTTAAAAAAAAAACATGTAGGAAAAGACGGGGCAAGATGGCGAACGTTTTAAAAGCCTTGAGTTATTGCGAAAAAAATCAGTCAAGAAGCAAATAATACTTTGTCAGTATGATTATGTTATCATAATGATATTTGATAAATATTCAGTTTGCAAATAAAAAAATTTGAAATAAAATTAAAAAAAAAGTTTATAAATTTGTTATCTGGTTGGGCAATTGACTTTTTATGCAATTTTTGCAAATTTTATAAAATCTTAAAAACTACCAATCACTTTAACTAAAGTTATACAAAATAAACACGAGTCGCAAAAAAATAAACACGAGTCGCAAAAAATATTCCTAAAAAGTTAAACCCGGAGAACACCATTCATTATGAATAACCAACACCGAGGTGTTTGTTTTAAAGCGCAAAAAGTAAACTTATTTAAAAAAACAATTGGCGTTTTAAAATATAAGATGTAGATACAGTTTCGTTTTTAACCATTTTTAAGTTTTTTTGTTGAGTTTTTATAAGAAAAGCTATCTTGCCCCATTTGCCATCTTGTACCGTTTTTCCCTTATTCAAAATTTCATAAGGGTGGGTTCAATTTAAAAAACAGATACATTATTTGATTTTGTTTTAAACGCTCTTCACCTCACTCTTATTTTGCACCATATCCCATGTTAAATAATTTCTATTTTTTGTGCTTGTAAAAATCTAAATTTACAACTTGTTTATTAACTTTTTAAACAAATGACAAGCTATCAAACTAATAAATTAGGTTTGTTACTATTTCGAAACATTGATATCAAAAACCATGATATAAGGAGCACGTAAAGTTAGATTACTTGATGATTTTGCGTTTCTTTTTGCGTATAAATAAGGATATTGCGTATAAATAAGTATATGATTGTGTATATTGCAAGCCCTCTTTGAATCTTAAGTGTTTACTTTTTTTTTCTAAAAACAAAATGAGTTGGTATTTGTCTCATGTTTGTTGTTTAAAAAAGTCTAACACAAGTTTACATTTACAGAACCATTTTGCAATTACTTTAGAAATTCGGTAAAGACCAGTAAACAAAACTCATAATACTTTAACAATATTTTTTTATCAATCATAATTTTAAACAATTTTGAAACTAGTTATAAACTTTTATCAAGGAAACCATATTATTCTTTAATTTACACTTATTCATATATTTTAACTCAATCAAAATAGTTTGAGACTTCAATATCAATGGCAATGGCTTCCTTTTTTTTTTAAATTAAAAAATTTGAATTAATTAAAGCATTTGTGACTCAATGGATTTCAATAAACACACGGACCTCACGGATTTCAATAAGCACACGGACCTCAAAAGGTTTATGAATTATATATTCTTTGTACCGTCTAATAACAAACTCAAACCTCCTGAAAATACCTTTGCCATCTCTAAAGATTGGAAAGATGTTTTTATAAAACAAACCTTATGGAGGAACAAAACAAAATCAGATATAATTTTTGTCTCATTCTTTTTTAATATTTAAGCTGGTAATAGAACTAGTTACTGTGAACTTGAAGTTTCAAATACTATACCAAAGAAAAAAAGTTCTATAGAATTTTCTATAAACTTTTGAAACATATGGTCTATAGAAATTCTATAGAATTCTATTGAATTTTTATAGAATTTTTGTTAAATTTTAATAAAAATTTTAAAGAAATTTTTTTTTCTACTTATTTTTTTATAGTAAAAAAGTTTTATAGCAATTTCTATAGAAATTAATAGATATTCTATAGAAATTCTATAGAGTTTCTTAATAATAATGTATTCCACCTCAAAATGTTATCTAAAACTCTAACTTAATATTTAAAAGAAGAAATGTTCCTTTGGGACTTAACAGAGTAAACTAACCCCAATCCTCCTCCATGGGCAAATTAGTACATTGAATCATGCGTTATGTTTAAATAATAAATTGCCATGATAAATTTTTATCGGTAAAAATTCCAAAGATTTTTATTTTTTACAATTTAGTTTATTTAAAATCTGATATTAGGGTAAATGGGCGGCTAGTTGAGCAATATAAAAGATCTCATGAACGGTGCAGTGTTAAATGAACAGATTTCGCTTGTCATGACATGTTAGATTTCGATTGTTTAGATTTTTTCATTATTGTATAGATAATAAAACCTCCTAAAAATTGGTTAACGAAAAGTATAACTTTGATTTCTTTGAGGAAATATTGTTAAAGGTTTATTTAGCTTCTCAACCTGCCCCAACGGAGTGAGTTGAGCAAATGTGTGAGGCAAGTTGAGCAATCAATATTTGAATGAATATGCGTGATATGGAACCAAGATACATTATTATAAAACTATTTTTAACAAAAAGCATGCTTATAATTTATGAACTTTTATTTTAGACACTTTAATGACGCACAGTGGGGTATTAATCGATTTAGGTCGCCCAAAATATTTTTTAACCTTTAATTGAAAAAACTTAATTTTTTTAGGAGAGACAAGTAGAAATCGAAATAAAAAGATAAAAATATATATTTTTTTAATATATGGATAATAGAATTCTCCTTTTTTTAATATTTTGCTATAGCGCTAATGCATAAAATGAGAATAAATCTATTATACCTGGTGGAAAATTAAATTATTCTTATCCTAACTTTCAATTTGCATTAAAATTGAAACTTTGGTTTAGTGTTGTTTTAAAGAATCGGGAAGCACTCATAATTACTATATAACTCTTATTTAGCTATGGAAAATATTAAAAAGAAAAAACAAAATGTTTATTTAGAGTATTTTATATTTGAATATAAAATACTCAAAATAACTACTATAAAAGGCACAATTTAAGTAGCCGGATGATGTTAAAAGCTAAAAGTTCTTCATCAGAAGACATCTATGTTTGCTCTGAAAATTTTTCATCTGAATCAGAAATATCAGGAAGATTTAAAAGTTCATTAGAAAGTAGCAACTCTTAGGTTTCCTTTAAAAATGGTTTAGTATTTTTTTTGCGAACGATTTGACCAAATCTAGGCTTAGGCTATGTCTACACATATTTTTTTTTAACTAGAAAACTAGAAATCCAATTGTATTTCTAGTTATCTTTGATTTCACTTTCCATTTTCTAATAAGCAATTTATAGGAAAGGTGCAATAAATTTTTAAATTTTCGGATCGTGGCGTGCAAAATTGAAAACCCAAACTTTAGTATATCTGGTTTGACTTCTTTTTTTATTGTCAAATTATTAAAAAAAAAATTTGTTGCACCACAAAAGTAGCATCTCATAGTTGAAGTTGTTTAAGTAGATCCATTACACACCTTAGCCTCAACCACAGTGAGCATCATATTATGTTTAACTCAAAAGAAACTCCCACCCACTGTCAATTTTGTATCATGCAGTGACATGGTTAGCACGGATCCTTATAATGCCTACCTAGCTGTCCCAAAAACGCCACTTATACGGAATGTTAGCGTACACATCAAGGTACCCTGTGATGCAAATGAAATTAATTTTGTCCGCAGAAAATAATTTAACTTCAATGTTCACATTAAGTCAAATTTTGACTTCATAGTGCGCCAATAAAAACAATTGTAGAATTTGAACCACTTAGTATAAATTGATAAAAAATAGTGCAAATGTAGCCAATAGTCACACTAAACTCTGGACAAAATTTCAGCCTAATTAGATGACTGGTGTAGGATTTATTGCAGTTTTAGTTGAAATTTTGTCAGTTTTTTGTTACTTATACCTCAAAGCGTTACCGATTACTTTGAAATTCGGTCACTATTTTTAAAATAACGGATACATGAGTGTTCTACTATGTAGTACCAACAATTTTTGTTTAATTATTTTATCGGTACATGTACAGTTTTCATTTTATAGACCAAAATAGTGATTTGCTACTTAAAGCGTGATTTGAATTGGCTTATCCCAATGGCGTTGACACAGCCTTTAAAGTGGAGGGGGTGAACCCCTCAATTTCTATAATAATTGCCTATATTTCTAAAACAAAAGGTCCTCGCAAAAAAAAGTAGCAAGGCCATGGCTTCCTTGACGGCCATGTATGCATAGCGTGAATATACCAACATTTCCTAAGGTATAAACTACTGCCAGAATGCAAAAAAAATGGTTGAGAAAAATTTTTAGGGTTACCTACATAGAAAATAAAAATTTTTATTAAATCATTAGTTTAATAGGTGTGACGATTGTCATTAATGTAATTTCCTGACAAGTAAATAGTTTGAACAACACTTTCCTGGTAAGGAAAGAACTATTCAAGAATTATTTCCTTGCAATTTAATATTACCTCAATTAAATCAAGTAAATATTTCCTTTATTTTATTAGTTTTTAATTAATAGTATGTGTTACTATGTTAAGTGGATTGATATCAAATATAAATTTAGGTCAAATTTTGAAAAAGGCAGAGTTTGATTTAGTGGAGTCAAATCTAGTGAATTGCCACGATGCCAAATCAACCAAAGAATCATGATGAAAATCAAAAGTTTGTGTGTCTGCTTTGTCTGAAAAAATGTTTAAGACAGCTTACTACTTTTCGAGCAGATCGAATATGCCAACTTTACAAGATCAAGATCAATATCAGTGATACTCGGGTACCAAAAGGATTCTGCGAATCGTGTAGAATTACTTTGCGCAGAAAATAAGAGGGGAAAAAAGTTGTACTCCCTCCTTTGTTTGATTTTAAGTCAATACAAGTGAGACCTTTAACAAGAGGCACAATGTATTGTTGCCTGGTATGCCGAATTGGTCGTTCAAAGCTGCAAGAAAAACATCCTCTTCTAGAGCAAAGCACTATTGAGAAAAAACCAAAGGTGCATTGCAGAAAATGCCTCAGCCCTTTAGGAAAAGGTTTGCCCCACCAATGCTTTCAAATAATCTTAAGGGAAAAAATTCAATCTTTAGCAGCAAAAGATGTCAAATCATCCGAACAAATTGCATCTCA